AAAATACAATTTTAAATTATGTAGCGACTGGCACTGAATATCATCTGTTCTTTTACGCATTTTGGTGTCCGTGGTGTAGCCGGTTTTTTGGATATAACTAAGTCTTAAAGTGTTTACTGATTAAATAGTAGTTTATTTTTGTTTACCCTTTACCTTTTCATATGTAGAGAATAAACCTTTTTTGTTTCCGGAGACGACAAACAAAACATAAACGAAACGTGTTCATATAAAAGTTTGTTATCTCAAAACTTTATCTTTGCTAATTTTTTATTTAAAAACTTTTTCTTTTGAATTTTTTTTTCAAACCCAAAATTTATGAACAGTTGTTTTTAATATATAAAAAACCTTATGTGCATAAATTTTATCTGATGTTATGTGCATGAATTTTATCTCATGTTGTGTACATAAATGGTATCTGGTGTTGAGTACATAAATGGGATCTGGTGTTGTGTACATAAATGGTATTTGGTTTTGTGATTTGGTTTTGTGATTTGAATTTTTTTTTCAAACCCAAAATTTATGAACAGTTGTTTTTAATATATAAAAAACCTTATGTGCATAAATTGTATCTGATGTTATGTGCATAAATTTTATCTCATGTTGTGTACATAAATGATATCCGGTGTTGTGTACATAAATTGTATCTATTGTCTACAATAACGTTATCTGTTATTATGTGCATAAATGTTATATGGTGTTATGTACATTATTGGTATCTGATGTTATTGTAACAATGGGTGATTTTGTTGATCTTTTACGATCAGCGATTCAAGGATCTTTTTAGATCGCTCAGATCATAGCTGGCTAGGGGCATAACCCCCCCCCCCCCCTTTATACCGTTCGGTTGGACTTTTGAATCCTATTTTGAATTCTAACGGATTTATTTGAGTTTGCATGTGAAGTCTATAAATAACCCAAGCCAAGCTGAAAGTTCCGTTATTCCAGAAGCACGGGGGCTGGGGGGCTAGCCTGCCAGCTCCCGGGGAACTAGGGTTAAATGAGAGCCCAGGGTGGAGCGAAATGAAGGGAAAAGAATCAGTTGGTCGTCAGCTCCCTTAAACTGAGGTTCCCTTGAAGATTCCCCATCACTCTGAAACTGCTTCAATTCATAATATTTTATTAGTATAGTATCAACCATTTCATTTTTGTATCTTTGTAAATAATAAACTGTAAGAAAAACCGACTCGTTGAATATTAATAATACAAGTGTTTGCATTGATTTATTTTCTTTCATATACAATATTATGTACATTAATGGTATCTGGTGTTAGGTACATACATTTTATCTGGTGTTACGTGCATTAATAGTATCTGGTGTTAGGTACATACATTTATCTGGTGTTATGTACATTTATGGTACATGGTCTTGTGTACATTAATGATATCTGGGGTTATTTATATTATTTTAATCTGGTGTTATGTACAAAAATTTTATCTGGTATTATGTACAATGTACATAAATTTCATCTGATGATATAAGTGTTAATAGATAATGTTGTGTAATAAAAGTGTTAACGTGTGTTATGTACATTGAATTTACCTGTATAATGACGAGTGTATATGTTATGCAGAATAGTGCCTCTAGGAGACAAGTATAATTGAACCAATACCCTAAACTTGATTGAAAGCAAGAAAACATGTTTATACATAAAGGGAGACTTTGCAACATTTCAGCGCCAGAGAGAAAATAAAGAGAAAGTTTTAAAAATTTGTAATGATGATCGTAAAATTGAGATTACTTCTGTTGCAATAATTGATTCTCATAATTATCATTATGACGATTTGAGCACAATAAATAATATCAAAAATACAGAATATTATTAAAAAACTTTTTCATGTTAAGGGGTTGGGGCGGGGGCAAATTGAGCCTAAGCACCACTCAAACATGTAAAATAGATCATAACAACAAGTGAAAAATAAGTATTATTTGTAATAGTAGTAATACATTATCATCATTAAAGATATTGTTATTATTGACATTATCAATATAATTGTCATCCTTAGCATAACTATTATCACTTTACATGCACTTTCTTTAAACAATTTGTTTAGTATACCTTCTGAATTTCTATAGGAATCCTAATTTTCCATGCATGGTTCAGCTCATAAACAATAAACACTCTACAGAAATATAATTCTCAACGAGGTTGCGTGATTTATAATGGCGAGGTTTCGTGATTTTCGAGTGTTGAGGTTTCGTGCTTTTTTATTTATTTATTTGCAAAAACAAATCTAATTTTTCTAATCGAAACATTTCGGAAAACAAAATCTTTTATTTTGCATAAAATAACACCCATTTCAAATTCATATTTACGGAAATGTTATCAAATTAATAGAAATTAAGGGAAAAAGATCGAATAAAATTATCAATCGGATAATTCGGATTGGATCCAAAGTGATAAAAAGAAATTATTGAATCAAGGGAATAAAAATAAAAAGAATAAGAGAATAAAGGAAAAAGAGAATAAAAGGAATAAGAGAATAAAAGGAATAAGAGAATAAAGGGAATAAGAGAATAAAGGAATAAGAGAATAAAGGAATAAGAGAATAAAGGGAATAAGAGAATAACGGAATAAAAGAATAAAGGGAATAAGAGAATAAAGGAATAAGAGAATAAAGGGAATAAGAGAATAAAGGAATAAAAGAATAAAGGGAATAAGAGAATAAAGGAATAAGAGAATAAAGGAATAAGAGAATAAAAGGAATAAGAGAATAAAGGAATAAGAGAATAATGGAATAAGAGAATAAAAGGAATAAGAGAATAAAGGGAATAAGAGAAAAAAAGAATAAAAGGAATAAGAGGATAAAGAAATAAGGGAATAAGAGAATAAAGGAATAAAAGAATAAAAGGAATAAGAGAATAAAGGAATAAAAGAATAAAGGAATAAAAGAATAAAAGGAATAAGAGAATAAAAGGAATAAGAAAACTAAAATGAAGAAGAGAGAAATTGGAATACAGTGAGAACAAGAAAACTGTGGAATAGGAAGACGACTTTTAGACTCAAGTTATGACTATAACAGTTCAAGTAACATGAAACGTTACTGTGCAGTGTAAACAGTCCAATTTAACTGAATAAGTGATTAAATAAGTTACTAGTGAAACTTTTTGCTTTGTAACAACATCTTTTTTTAAATCTGTATATTTATTTGAAATCCGACCATATGAGTTATTACATATAAAAATATGTGACAAGTTTTGCATATGTTATAACGTTACGTGTTTGCAGATTGGTTTTTAGAAGAAAAAAAAAACAATTTTAATTCAAATTAGAAAATACATCTATATAGGAAAGGTTCTGGGATGTGATCTAAAACATTTGGATCATAACAATTAATCTTTGTAACAAAATCAAATTACTTAAAGGGAGTGTTCGCGAAAAATGAAAGGGGTTTTAGGCTAAGTGCGATAAAAAAGCGCTTTTGATCGCTACTGATCTTACTTCTATCTGTTGCGTCTATAAGGAGAAAATTGTTAAAGACGTCTCACACCGAATAACTTAGCGACCATACAAATTGAGAAAATTGCAACACGACATAGACCGTAAAAAAATCAATTTAATTTCAAACAAATCATTCAGATATTACAACCTACAGTCATCGATTATCTTTAGCCACATTTGTATATAGTTTATATTTTATAATGTTTTTTAATTAATTTGTTTGTTTCTCTTGTCGCTTGCGCAACTACCTAAGAATGCCGCACACCACTCACAATTTTCGAAATCGGTTGAAAACGTTTTCTAAAAAAATAAAATATTATAAAATATAAACTATATAAAAATGTGGCGAAAGATAATCGATGACTATAGGTTGTAATATCTAAATGATTTGTTTGAAATTAAATTGATTTTTTTACGGTCTAAGTAGTATGTTGCAATTTTCTCAATTTGTATGGCCGCTAAGTTATTCGGTATGAGACGTCTTTAACAATTTTCTCGTTATAGACACAACAGATAGAAGTAAGATTAGTAGCGATCAAAAGCGCTTTTTTATCGCATTAAGCCTATACCCCCTTTCATTTTTCGCGAACACTCCCTTTAAATAGTTAATATTTACAGTTTTCACCACTATTTTGTTGTAAAATCAGCAAGTTTTTTGTAAAGAAACCACAGTAACATTTTTTTGAAAGAGAACGACATTGAAACCTCATTCATTCTTGATTAGGCTAAACGTGTATGGCAACCGGTGTGAATTAAACATGCAATCTTTATGAATAGTAAATTTAAATTACATATTATTTTTACCTTTGGGGCCTTCGTTGTAAGTTTTGAAGAAATCTCTTTTCTAAATGATGACGAAAATAAAGGCATATTTTTTAAGTTTGATTTGGTTTGAAGTTGAACGTAAAACAAAAATTCGATCTTTCAATTAAAAAGGCGAGAATGATATGCGTGAAAAATTAAAACGTTGTCTTTAGATCTTTAGAGGAATTTCAAAATGATGCAACATTTAGTTTCTAATAAGTGCATGAATAAAATTTTGATTATTCAGAAATTGTTTAATTTTGTATTTTAAATGTGGTTACAATCCCTCCCTTCCCCCCTTCATTGTAGACATTTGATTAATTAGGCGTATTTGGTGAAATACTTTATAGTATATCGAAGTAGTGTAGGTATCTTTTATACCGCAGTAGTAACTCAAAACTGTGGACTTATTGTCAACTTCGTACTTCTTTTAATAAAGATATTTCATCTACAGTTACAAATCTTAAAAAAGAACATTTATGGAGGAATTCTATTCCAAAGGAAATATGTCTTTTAATCTTTATATCTTTGCAGCCCAATGTCGTAGACCTTTGATAATTTAAACTATCAATCAATGTTAATTTAAAAATTGAAGTATGTTTTAACCACCATGTTGCAAAAATAAAGGGATTAGAAAATTTGATCTAGTTACTCTCTAAATCCTTATTTTATAAGAAAGAAAAAAAGGCACCTTTCTTGACTCTATGTTAAGGGTTAAAAATCAAAGTTTTTTTTTCTTACAAATCACGAATTAAATTAAAATCCGTCATTCCTGCTAAATGTCATTGAATTAAACGGAACGTAGGTCAGTCGATCTCCACGATGCTCTACTTCAGAACGGAACCCCTAATATAAATATCAAAAAGAGGGTGTCCCAATAAACATGAGAATTGAGTGGCGAATTTAAAATCGTCCACATGTTGCTCTTTTTAAGAATAGCATAACATTGTAATGATATACTAAAAAGTCTATTTTCAACAAAAAATGGTGTGCTTTTAAAGTCTCATAATTATCTACTCTCAGTTTAGACTGAAATATTTTAAGAGTTTTGCACTGTTTGAGATAAACTTTAAATTATTTTTTGTTTTTGAAATACGTCGTAGATAATTTTAAAGTTGTCTGTTCATTCTCATGTTAATTGGGTAACCCTGTATGCCCTGTATAACAAGCTTATAAAGAATTAAAAATTGTAGTTATATATGATAATTAATAAAAAGAGTTATGCACCGTTTTTCTACCTTGGCTTGGTTGAGATTTGGCTGAAACTGTTGGTAATTTGTTTTGAAGAGAAGAACTTTATTTTCACGATTTATTTCTTTTAACTTGTCTTTTAATCGGAAATTGTCCATTTTGCCTTTATTGCCACGTTTACGCTTCGCTGATTCATTATCAAAGATAGTTTCACTTTTTGTTGATTGGATTCTGTTCTTCCTAATGTATTTATTTAGGTTATAATTTGGTTGATCATCATAATTCATCAGCTGATTATCAGTATTAATCAGCTGATATTCTACTCCATTTTGAATGATCTCCTTTTCACGGATTTCCAGATTTCCCGCGTCATTTTCAGGATTTGTGAATGTTCCCCTGTTGAGCCTGAAAATAGAATTTTGTATGATATTTGAAAATGCGTTTTCCCTCAGGCTCTTATGCCTTTTCAACTAAGAATTGAGTTTGGAAATTGAAATTTTAGATTAAAACAATATCAAGGTAAAGAAGATCAAAGATATTTAATGCGTTGATCAATTTTTAAATTTTCCTTTTTTCTAACAAATATTATTGGTTGATTTTCTAATGTTACTTATGATTTTACGCAATTATTTTATCTTTGATAATCTCTAAAATTTAACTAATTTTATAAAACCGTCAACGATTTTCAATGCTAATGAATTTTAAAAATGATACAATGAGAGAAAACCCGTTAACGAGAAAATAACAGTAAAAGTTGCTGGGATAGATTTACAGTTAGTTTATATCAACTTTCTCATCTCTTTCTCCATCTCTAATTATCTCCTTTTGATGTTAACTATTACTACTCCTCCCCCTTCCCCTCCCTTCCGCCTCTTATATTGATGACTAGTGCTTTAAACGCCTCGAATAAGAAGATGTCAAAAAGTGCAATTAATTTCCCACAATACAAACCTTCATACAGTATAACGCTTTTATTTATAGCGTTGGCTTACAGTATCAGAAATTAGGTTTAAAGGGTACCGATGTGAATCACATTAAAGATCACTTGAAAAAATAGCTTTATTTACTTACCCTAGAAGTATTTACTTACCCTAGAAGTATTTACTTACCCTAGAAGTATTTACTTACCCTAGAAGTATTTACTTACCCTAGAAGTATTTACTTACCCTGGAAGTATTTACTTACCCTAGAAGTATTTACTTACCCTAGAAGTATTTTCCAAAACATTTTAAAACTTTGAATTCTAAATAATTCGTAGTTTAATCATTTAGCATCCGTTGATCAGCTCTCAAGGAACATTTTGAAAAAATATTATTTAAATCTAAATAAAAACAGTTGGTAGATTACTACATATATATACAAATATATAAAATGTAAGTGTTATACTTATTTTTTTAATACAAACATTTTTGTGTTAAATTTCAGTTAAAAAATTTAACTCAAATATAGAAAATTAGAATTAGTTACAGGAAAAATTTAAAGATTTACAATTTTTGTGAAAAATTTAAGTATTTAACCCTTTTAAAAAGATAATATATAATTGTTATTATCAGTCAAACATGATCCGTTAGGATAATTTTCCAAACTCAAGAATTTGTTGATAATCCGTCTTTTAGCAACAGTTTTGAAAAGAGGGGGATATGTAGCATCGTGTCTGCAAGAGGAAGAAACTAAACCATATGTTCACGAACCTTTTATAAAAGAATGGAGCATCTTTAATTTCTTCAGGAATTGTTGTATCATCTGTAGTGTGGGATTGTCTGTTGAAAATTGTGTGTGTTTGTTCTCTGTTTTCTAGTTGGTGAACTGAAGAACAGAGTTTTACAGAACACACTATTCTGAAATAAAAAAAGATGTTATATTATTCTGAAATTGAAAAAAGAAATGCTATTCTTCAGAAATTAAAAAATAAAATGTTATTATTCTAAAATTAAAAAAATTAATTTTTATCACTATTACTACGATTTTTTAAAACCTCTATGAACAATTCCTTGTTTCTGTCGCATATAAAGGAATTGAGTCATTGCCACAAACTCTGATTTCTTAATCCCTTTATCTCTACAACACAATATTGTAGACCTTAGATATTTCAAAATATGAATTTTGATGGATCAAATAATCAAAGTTTGAAATATCAAAGGTTTAAGACATCTGCAAAGACTGAATTCCTTTGCAAGTCAAAGAGAGAAATAACAAAAGGAAATAATGAAAAGTATAAAGGGGGAGGGGGACGGGTATGAAAAGTATAAAGGGGGGACGGGTATGAAAAGTATAAAGAGGGGACAGATATGAAAAGTATAAA